CCGGTATGTTTTTGAAGGACAGGAGTGCTCTTCGTCCTCTGACCTCAACAGAATCGCTGTGACTTTGCTTAGCAAGTCGCCAAGTCAGAGCTAATAAGCCTTGCTGGGAGAATTTTGTTACCCTTTGCTCGGTGGATGCAGCAAGAGCTTTCGGTGTTTGATCAGGTTGTGTAGTTTATCCGTTGTGCAGAGCATGGAGGGAACATGTAAGGGGACTGACACGCTTGAATAACTTTGCAGAACTGATGCTGTTTAAAAGACTGGTCAGGAAGAAGATGACAGCTTTGTTCTGGTTCTGTATCACCCTCTGTTTAGCCCCGGTTGGGAGGGGATGACCAGGGTTTCTGAATCCACGTTGGTGAATAGCATCGTTACGCTCTGCGTGGTAGAGCTGCACACTTCAGCGTGGTACAGGAAAATGCCAAACATTCTATTCTGTCCCAAAATCTCTTTTATTTTTTTTTCTAAATGTCTTAAACAACAAGAGTAGAAATTAGTTTGTTTCCTTATCTTCATCTTTCTTCTCTTTCCATGACACTGGAGCTGCTACTTTCTTTAGACTCGCTGTTGTTTGTGAGGTCTCCTGGTTGTGGCCCATTGGACCAGTTTATCTTTGCAACACAAAGTAGTGGTTCAAAACACACAGCTGATGTCAGAGTCTCCTGCTTTTTAAAGCTGGCTGTGGACCATGGAGAACGCAGCACAGCTGTTGATTTTGCTTCTTAACAGAGCGGAGCTTGATTTTTCCACGGTGGTACAGAAACACGGCAGCAGAGTCCCCGGTCAGCAGGAGGTTGATCGTCGCCTTAGCTTTGGAGCACCAACCCAAATTCATCGCAACCTCGAAGGTTGTAATAGGAATCCTCAAAGGATAACCTTTAATTGTACTTGTAAAGGAAGTAAAGGAACATGTAGCTTGCTCTGTTGAAATATCTTCAGCAAAAGTTCCTCTAAAACCCAAATGTTATGTCCTGAGGATAAAACAGCAAGCTGTTGGTCCAGAAGGATCTGAATTTCAGAATACTTTGAAGGATTAGATCTACAAATTTCCTGGAAAAAAACCCCAATTGCTGCTAAGACTATTGCTCTTTTCTGGCTCTCCTTTTTAAAGTTCACCTCCTTCGGCCTTAGACTGGTGTCGTGGTACCAGACGTTCTTGCCGATACCCTGCCCGAATACGTCCTGTCTGCTGGCAGTACTCTGCTCCCTTTCCCGTGGGTCCTGCTTGCTTTGCTTTTACTCTCCCTTCAGATGAAAGCTCATCCGTGCCTGGTGTTCACTTAGCACACCCATGGTTTTTTCCTCCTTGAGTTTCTACTTTTTTCCTTCTCATCTCTGTTGAAAATTGAGATGAAATACTCAATGTAAAAACTTGAGTTCATTACAAGTTCTAGATAGCTGTTTTGCTTAGCTTTTCTTTAAAGCCATTCTTTATAAGGAGCATATAAAATCCAAAACGTGTGGCTTTCTTCTGGAAAAATCAGCGTCCTTTCATGGCTGAAAATATCCGAGCCCCATCTCGAATGGTACCGTAGCCCTGTGCTCATAAAAGAGACTCTGCAGGGCTCCCTGTCCTTATCTCGACCCGTAAGTTTTACCTTTTCTCCCCTGTCTAATGAAAGAGGGGAGTGATAGAGCGGCTCTGGTGGGCACCTGGCCCTCAGCCAGGGTCAACCCACCACAGATGGTAGCAGGATGGTTATACGAAGACTGGTGACTGCTTTATTGTCATGAATAAAATGTTCGGGCTTTTCTTGTCAGAAAACACAGCATAGGTTATATTAGTCAATTAACCTGGTAACCTGAATAGCTGTTTTTCTTTTGCGTGAGACCCTGTGCTACTGCATGAAGAGGTTTTCCTGAATTCCTCTGGCGGTTTTTCTCCCATCAGTAACACACTACTCATTTTGGATTATCCATTACTCAACACGTATGAATTTAAAGAATCACTGGGAGGAAACCCTGCATTTCTGCACCTCTAGTGCTGGGTGCTACGAGATGAGCAACCTCGGTGGTCTCCCGTCCTCCTTGCTGTTCTTCTCCTCTGCCGTAGACCGTTGAGTTTGTTTATTGTCAGGTTCCCTTAGCGTCTGGTAGCACCAAAACCTTCGGGCGTTGTTTAAACACTTCCCCATTCTGCGATTGCTTTAACTGGTGATTTTTTTGGAAGCAGTTTTTCTGCTGATGGGGGGGTGGAATATCAATGCAAATGAAAGTTGTGCAGGTTCTCACAGTTTGCGGTTACTAAAGTATTAAAGGCCAGCAGTGTGTTCCAGTACATTTTTTTTTATGTGTTTTTATTGTAAGCCTGTCAAACGTTTTGCCTTTAAAATCCTCTTCAGACATAAGTGATTTAAAATATTCCCAGGTTGTCCTATTAACTGTGTGATCCAGAAACCAAAGATTTGCTTGAAAGAGTATTGAGGTTCATTATTTTAAATCTCAGAAAGCCAATCGTTAGGAATTGAGGGTAAGCCAGGTTCCAGGGTATCTTGATGTTAAGTGCCGCTGATTTCTAATGACATGCTCAACGTCTTGGCTAGGGAAATGCCACAATTTCTCCCTTACAACATAATAAAATCTTTTAATTAAAATTTTGACACACCAAACAAATATCGAAGGATATATATACGTGCACAGGTTAAATGTGCACAGTGCATGCCTTGGGGCAAAGAGTGACATTCTGGTTACAGAACAATTCTTTCTCAAATTTATTCTTAATTTTTTGGGGGGAATTGGTTTTGTAACGTGACTCGTGCTACACCAGAAACTAGTGTTAGGAAAAGGATGGTCTCCCTTAGGCGAGAACATCAGTTCTCCCTTTGGTTGCAGCTTGGACTTTTGGTTTTACCTGGTTTGGCCACTGTTCTGCTGAGAGTCAGCTGGCTTTGGGACAACCCCGAAAGCAATAGTTTCCCTTGGCCAGTTCAGAAAATGAAAGCAGTAACGTTGCTGTCAGCATTGCTTTTCCCATCGCTCGTGTTATAGCACATCTGTGCCTTCACAGCACTGCTCGGGGTTTTATTTCTTGAAGCTCCTGTTGACTTCAATAGGAGTCATGTTGCCAAATTGCACATTTTCTTTAATAAACTAAACTTCCTTCAAAGAGCTAATAGCTTTTAGTTCGTAAGTCTCTTGGACATCTTCATCAGGACAGCTTGTTCTTTGATTTTACAGCCATTAAACAAAGCGCTTTATGATAGCTGAAGGGGACAATTGCAGGAACAACAACCCAGCAATCTGTTTCACACTTGCTTTAGTCTGCAATCTGCTGGTGTGCTTTAAATATTCGAAAACTCCTCGTGTTCTTTTATCCAAGTGTGAGTTACACACAAGTTTGCTTGCAAATGCTTAGTACAGCTCCGTTTGTGTGATTTCGTTGGGTTTTTTGCTTTGTGACAGTATCTACAATCTGCTCTGAAATGCCTTTTTTTTTTTTTTTTTTTTTTTGCTTTCCACAGTTAATCAAAATTTTGCCACTTGCCTTTTATGGCAGTGAAATTTTGGGGTTTGTTTTTTTTTTTATTAGACTGAGATCCGTACAGGCTTATATACCCCACCCAAGCTTAGTTTCGTCCACCTCATCATACCTTCCCGGCACCTTGCCAGAACCCCAAGCTTACAGAGACAGCCTTCCAGTTTTCTACTCCAAAAAACCAAAAAACCAAATCTGGCTTGGCAAAGAAAACACCGTAGAAGTTCATTTAGGAGATCAAGAAAATGACGATGTAATTAGTTTGGTCCAAACGAGTTGCTGGGTAGCAGCATCTTCCTTCCGCCTGTGCGCCGTGTCCCCTTCTGCTCTGCTGGATGTGGGTTATTTGGGGCACGATGCGTTTTGTGGTGGTTTTAGCACTTTTTGAGTGCTGTAAACGATCAGTTAGGGCTGGGAGGGTCAAATTGCCCAGAGTTAATGTGGAAATGCAGGTGGCGATGGTGAGAAAATATAGAGGGCATTTGGCGGTGCCTCAATCGAGCTTTAAAAATAGAGTGTAACTAGTATTGCTGCAGCTGAGTAGTAACACTAAATGTGTAAAGCTGCGTACAACAAGTGGATTAGGCAGTCGCTGCATTTTGGGGTAAGACTGCTGTTTTTTTACACACTCTACAAAGTGTATGCCTCTTTCCTTATTAAATAGGGGCACCGAGTCACATCGGCCCCGTTGCTTCTGGGAATTAGGGTTATGGCTTCTGCATCCGCTTATTGGTAGTGTAGCTTGCTGTTAATATTAGAGATTAGCTGCTGAAGTCAAAAAGAAGCGTGTCCACAGCTCAGCTAAAATTGAAATGCTGTTTCCAGCCCAACCATTTAGGAAGTGAGGAGGTTTTTGTGTGTTAAAAAAAGGGAGCTGCATCATAATGCTTAAAAGTGCTTAAAAGTAGAATAAAAAGATGTCTTGTGTCATCAAGGCTTGCAGAGATTTACCCAGGAAAATGTTTTCTATTTTAATAAAACATATTGCAACAAGGACACGCTTGCCATTTGATATATTTACTGCGTTCAGAAAGGAAACAAACAGTAAAGATGATGATTATTCAATAGACGCCTGACAGCATTTTGCTAGTGCTGTTATAAAAAATAGCAAATTCTTTCTTACGGTAGTTACGTACTGCTGCTAGTTTCATTTTAAAATGGTTCCCACAAATCCTGGGGAGTCCTGTCATGCCCCAGACAGGTGATGACAAACTGCTGGGGTATCGCAGCTTAAAAGGTAAATAACTGCTTTACAGAGACTTAAGCAGATGCGTTTTCCCCTCACAAACGAGTCGGGCTAAGACCGTGCGTGTAGCTTTACTCGCAGTAACCTGTTAAGTTGTAGTAATGTGAATATTTACAATTATCTGTCTGTACCGTTAAGCCCATTAAAATACCAGGAGGTTATTTTTCCGTATTCACTGATATCCCTTCATATTGGGTAAAATCTCTCTGATACATGGGGTTTTTTTCATCTTTGTGTTGGAACAATATGATAATAATATTTTTCTGTTTATTAAATTAGCAACTACTCCGTGAGATGCAACAGATGGCAAGTCGCCCCTTCGCCTCCATCAACGTTGCCTTAGAAACAGATGAAGAGCCGCCAGATCTCATTGGGGGAAGCATAAAGGTGAGAGTGGGTGCTTTAGGATGGTCCTCACCAGAATTAATCATGGATGCTTGTTTTAAACTGTGCTTAACGCAATTATCCCAAATCTTCTATTTGTTATGTACCTGCAAGAAAACATAAGTCCAACAGGGCCAACAGATATCGTTTGCGTTTGCTTTTATCCCTTCAGGTATCCATTTACAACTTTTGGGCTGGTTTAGATAAAAGTTATGCTGTGTGTAGGGTATGAGATTTTGTGTTTGCCTTGTTAGTTTTTATGCCGTGTAATAGAGGAGAATGCGGCTTTACACAGGAGAACATTTGGCTAGAAATAGCTATAGGTGCTACATATAGAAACCGTTTTTTCTGTGGTATCTCCAAGAAAACAGGAATATAATCATGTCTGTGTACTGTAACAGTGTTAACGTATTTCTGATTAGAAATATATGTTCAAATACATCTTGTGATGCGCAAATAGGAGCGGGGAGAAATCATTGTCTTACACCAGGCTGGCATGTTCTTAGACACAGCATGTTGTATTTTTAGGAAAAGCATATTTAAAAGGAGACTAATGAATTAAAAGATCTTTTTAATGTGATGCTTTGACTAGCAGACTTGTATACAAAATGAAAAAAACTCAGACCCTGAGAACACTGATTATTTTTGTTTCCTGTCTAAGGTAGCTGGTTTGTTTTATTTAGACTTCAGGTTTTTGGAAGTCTTCCTCATTAGTCCAGGCACAGAGTTTCTCCCCACCTGTTGCTGTGACAAGAGAGCAGGTTATGCTTTGCTATAAAAAATGTGTGTATTTTTGTTATTGTAAAGCACGTGAAAACAATCTGACCCAAGAACTTCTGTTTGGTGAGTAATATTATTTAAGTCTTGGCGTTAGTATCAGAAAATGCCACAATTGTATAGCCCTTGTTCTTCCTTATTTATCTGTGAATATAGTCTTTCATGGCAGGTTGTAACACTTTTTTTTTTTTCCCCCACCTGATTGGTATCCTGCAGCATCATCTGGGTGGGCACTGCGTAGAAGAAACTTCTCAATATATTGTCTTAGTTTTGTTCTGGTTATTTACTGTGTTCTCCATCCAAACCTTTAGTCCCAAGCTTGAGTGTTTCCTGTGATTGCCCCACGTTGGAGTGCTTCATGAATTAATTGTTACCTTCCTCTGAAGTCAGGGATTATTGTCCCTGTTTTGCAGAGATGAACCTGGGAGCGTAGTGAAAATAAAGTAAAATTTGCAAAGGCACTCAGTAATTTGGGTAATTGAGTAAGCTTAGCTGACCTGTCTCTAGGACCTCTCCTTGAAGGCTCTGACTGGTTCTAATCCCGGTTGACTTTCGTTTGACTCCAGATTGTTCAGTTTTTCTGAGTTTTTATAATTTCTGTACTTGTGTTAGGAGGATGGTAGGCACTGGGAGTCATTAGCCGCTAATCGCTCACCAGTGCTTTGAAATACATGCTCGTAAAAGTGGATTGTCACTCAACAAATTAGCATGAACCTTTTTTTTTAAATTGCTACATCGAAGAAGCCGTGGGATGCGTATGGACGTTCCCATCGGGCTGGAGGTGGATTTGTGAGGCTGTAGCCTGGCTGCTGATGGTTTTGGGTTGCGGTCTGTCCGTCTGGGGGCACTTCCCTTCCTCTCTGTCCATTTTCTGGAAATAAGTTGACTAAAAGCACCTCTCCTGTACGATCGGGCCAGAACAAAGCTGTCCCAAACTTTTTGATCTCTCTGACAAGTTTATCTATCCTCCAGAACTACAGAGAAGATAGTAAACTTTGGATCTCTTATGTTCTGATTAGTGTGTTATTTCTCCTCTTGTTCAGCTGGCAGTGCTTTTTCCTTTTTCGTTCGGGCTTTGTTGTTCGCTTTCTCCTCCGTACCTCTCTGCTTTTTGTTTTCTTCTCAGTTTCTTCTTTGATTATAGGAATGTTGAACTCTTCTCTTTTGAAGTGCTTCCATAGACAGCACCGCGGACAGGATTTCATCTCTCACTTGAAGCTAAGCTTCCTTGCTTTCCCATGTCTGCCGTCATCTTCCGTATCTCACTTGTCTGACCTCCTTGGGTTACTCCAGAACGGATGGAGAAGCGTAAGAAATAAGACTGTGGACAGATGTCCTTTTTCAGACCCAGAAATTGTTACCAACTGCTAATTGCCATCAGTGCTGATAACTCATACAAATGTTTCTAAATCCACTTCAGGCATAAATGAGATGGTTTGATTCAGGCAAATAGCACAAACCTTGTCCAGTGGCCTGAAGCCAAGTAGAGAACATGGACGTGAACTGTTGTGCCAGCGAGTAACTTCATCTGCTGGAAGATCTGGGTGCAGAACGAGGATGCTTTTCCATGACAAGGAGAGTTGCTAAATTTTGGAGGGGTTTATATATATATTTTCTTTTTATCATGTTGAAGAATTTGGATAGAGGATAAAATTATGTATAAAAGTCTGGAGTGTTTCAGCAAAGTGGAAATTGCATGGAGAGGAGAGGAGGCTCAGGAAGCTTGTGGGTTGTGAGCAACTTGGGGAATGACGCTTCTGAGATGGTCTGGCTGTTGGATGCTGCGTATAAATGAATTTAAATAGAAGTGAAAAAGCAGTCTCAATATCTATGAGGTCAACTTCAGTTTTTCTCCTTATTCCTTTTGCACCTGCATGGGAGAAAAGCTCTTAGCAGGAGGGAGCTGCAGGAAGGTGGGCTGGGATGATACAGAAGTGTGGAATTGCATTTTTCTTTATGTTTTGTCTGTTCTTTAGTTATTAGCCGAGAAAAGAGTGAAGAGAAATGTTGCTACGTTGGTGGACTGTAAGCTATTCTCCAGTCGGTGTGCTTTTCGCTGTGTCAAAATTTGAAAGCCTCCGTTTTAATGCAAGAAATCCAGGCTTGTGTTATCATAAATGCATTGATGTTTTTCTTTCCCCACGTGAATCAAAACCTTTGGTTAATAACGAGCTTATTTGTGGGTTACAAAGGAGAAGTAGAAAATGGGACGTCTTGTCTGCAAGCGATTAATTTCCTTTTCCATTGTGCATAGCCAATTGGCAGCCAGTGTCAAGCTAGTTCCATCCTAAGCTAATGTTTTCCAGCTGGACAGTATTAGAACCGTGTTTTCAATTAGTATTTTTCCTGGGGTACTTAGAAGTAATAGAAAGTGTTTTACCTGCAGGGAAACTATTCATATTACAGTCTGCAGCTAGGCAACATGTAACTAGCTGCTTTGGTTTATTTCCCACTCAACAAATACCCAGTGGATCACAAATCTACCACTAAATTTGCTTAGTTATTACAAAATCCATTGGCTTTTCTCCGCATCTTTTTGTGCATTCAGAGGTGCTGCGTATCGCAATTTTTTTCCTAAGAATATTTAACATCCCCGGGTATCTGGGACTCATCCAAGTGCCTGAACCGGTATTACTGTAACTCAGGCTTTTTTAGATCTTGGTATCTAATTAATCTAAGTCTTGTAGTCCTATGCAGTGATTTTTTAAGAAGAAAATTTCTGAAAGAATATGGAAAGTTTATAATTTTGCCATTGATTTCCAGGTATCCTGAAGTTGCTAAAAGCGTGAAGTTAGAGCTTGTAGATTCTTGGTAAAAAACACATAGCATAGCAAGGGAACGCTTAGCTTGAGCAAAACACCTACAGGATCAACGAGAAAATTGTTGCATTAGAAAAATTTATCCTTAAGTCAGAAAAAAATTGCCTTGGAAGTTTTTAAAGGATTTGAAAAACTCTTCTGTACCGGAGCATTTGCCTAGGAGAGCTGGTCTGTAGAACAGCCTTTGCTGTGCTGTGTTTAGGGAGCCAACGTGCGAAGCCCGTGCTAAGAGGTGATTATTTTTGCATCCATGATCGACAGGCTGTCCACATCTCCAGTTGGCTAAATGGAGTGAGAGAAGTATTTGGTGAGCAAAATCCTTGTGAAGTTCATTTAGCATGTTCTGTACCTTCATGCCGACATGCATTTAATTCTGCTGCGTTAAGCTTCTGAGGGCAAAATAGCTTCACTGCAAATCCTTAATCAGACATCAGCTCACCGAGCTGGCTGATTCCTTAAAAATAGCAGAAAAATTGGTGGAAAATAGCATCTCGCTCTAGTAATTAGTTTGCTTTGTTATGGAAGAAAGTGCTGTTGAGTGGTTTAAAGACTGCCAGAAGGTCCCATCTGTTCAAGAAGTACAGAGATGAAGTGGTGGGCTGATTTAGGAGTGGGCAAGGGATACCACAGATTTATATTTTCGGTCTATTTGTATTTTGCATCTCAGTGGTGCCCTTGTGAAAATCCTTTTCCGTTGCAATTGAAGTTGCAGCAGTCAGTAATGAGCAGGGAAGTGACAAGTTAGAAGTCCTGTGCCACAGGGCGATGGGTTTGGGGAAGCTGCTTGGGTACCGCTGTGGTGAGGACTGATTTGAAATGAAGCGTCATCCAACTCCAGCACCTCTACAGGGTAACTTCATCTAATTTTTATGTGTAGCTCTGAGCCCTGCTATGTTGGGCTGTTTCGTGCAACGAGAGAAGTTCGGTGAAGAACAGCTAAGGGCCAAGGAACGGATGATTTTTAGGGCTGTTACCCTGTTCTGGTTGTCACTCTTGGTGACTCATTTCCCCTTTAGCTCAAATGTTATTGACCCACCGTCAGTCCATCGGATTTGCTGAGGGACCAGCCTCTGTGACCCTCTCCCAACCCACTGCGCTTAAAGGGAGGGGGGTGAATGTAAGCACGGTGAGCACGAAGTCTCCCACTTCGCCGGGCCACCGAACTGAGATCGGGGGTCCTCGTGCAAGCGGGCAGATTTGGAAGGATGGCAGGCTTGAGCTGTGATATATAGAAGTAGTCTTAAGTAGACATGAGCAGGCTGTGGAGATGCACTGGAGGGGGACAGAGCAGGTTAGGGTTTTTCGGAGGTGCTATAAATAAGCTGAGAGTCATTTATTATCCGCAAAAGGATAATGGTTGGAGGAAGGGGATGAAATTGAGTGGGGGGGGAAACACAAAACCGAATA